TCTAGGAACTATAAAGCCTAGAAGAGAGCGTTTGCCTTTGTATCTAAGGAGTTAGCTAGGCTAGTACTATACTTTTTTATATACCTATTAAAGCGAAAGCTCTTTAGATCGGATAACTTTCGCTTATAGGGCAGTAGGTTAGCTAGACCTAGGGTACTACTAATATCGGTAGCAACATCCTCTATATCGACCTCTAGAGTCTCTAGGACGACTAGGCTTTCTATAGGTAGGGTGCTAGGTACGGTGCTAGGTGCGGTGCTAGATCGGGTAGTACGGTCTATAGCTATCTAGAGAGTCTTAGTTTTAGCGGTTAACTCTCGCTATTACTTAGCCTTATCGGCCGCCTTGTTCTTTAGTACCCTAGTAGGGGCTGCCGCACTAGGGCGAGTAGGGTTCTAAGGGCTCTTGCCCTTGTTTTAGGACTAGGTCTAAGACCGTATAGTAGCGTAGACATCTATACTGTTCTTAGTAACCGCGTAAACATTAGTAACTACGTCCGGGTCCTAAGAAACAAAGTTAACCTTAACGGGCTTAGTAGTACTATTACTACTTCGCTCCTTAACCTGTTTAGCCCTAACCTTCTAAGTTTCTCGTTTAGCAATAGCGGCGAGGGTACTGTTCCTAGTATCCTTAAACTCGATCTTGCTACTATACTTCTTTTCTAGAAGGGTCTTTAGCTAAGGTAGCTTCGGGGCTCTCCGATCCTATTCGAAATTAATCTTGTCGCCGGTATCTATATAGTAGAATCGGCTATTTACTTGTATAATAAGCTTCCTTTTAAGAAGCTCTTTCTAGATAGAGCAGGACGATTAGACATGTTTAAACCCGCTATATATCTAGCACTTGCTATCTAAGTTAGAATAGATCTTCTATATAGCGTAGATATCTACTAAAGGGGCTTTAGGGTAGTTAGGATCTAAAACCTAGTAGACTAGTAGTACATCGCCTAGTATAGTAGCATTAATAACCTCCCTAACTCGCTATAATGCTTTCGCATTTAGGTTTAGCTAGGCTAGGGATTTAGCTAAGTCCGCGACATCCTAAGAGTACTTAATAATAGTAGGAGTTACGGTCTTAGGACTACTTTGCGATTTAGGAAGGAACTTAGGTCCCTTACTTCCTAAGGCTTCTTTCCTAACCTACGCTAGGTTATTCCGGTCTTCGCCGTAGATAAACTTCCTCGTATTAGCTATACTATTAATGTCGGCCTTAATATATACTAGGACCTCTTTGTATTTCCTAAAGCTCTTAGAATCGGCCTCGCTAAGCTTATAGCGATAGAAGATACGCTAAGCTATAGGCTACGGCAATCCCTAGAGAAGTAGCCTCGTTCTCTAAGAGTTCTCGAGATTACTCTACTCGATGCCGTCCGCTAACTCGACAAATTCGCGGATATACCCCTTTAGGTCGTTATCCTTAGTGCGCCTTACTAAGCAGAGGATCTCGAGCTACGCGCGACTGCCTTTAATACGACGGCTATCGCGCTCCCGATACTCCCTTAGAAAGGCTAACTTAAAGATCTCCTAGTTAGTATTAGACTTGTCGTCCTTTTCTAAGTAGCTAACTAGGGTTCTAAGGGTTCGGTAAAGCTTAGTACTAGTAGTCCTCGTAAGGGACCGGATCTTATACTAGTCGGACTCTCTATCGAGCTCGTACTTAATTAGGCCTTCCTTAAAACGCTCTATATATACTATAGCGTTCTACCCTTCGAATAAGGGGTTTATAGTGCTCCCTAGTTCTAGCGGGCGACGCTTATTTTAACGGAGAAGTTTAGTTTGCTTCTCTATTATCTTTATAATAATATTATAGAGCGCCTCTAGCGTAGAGGGCGTAGGAGGCTTACTTATATTAACTAGTCGCCGCCTAATTTCTTCGTTAATAGGATTAGGGGCGGTTTTGGATTTAGAGGATTCCGCTAATTCTTAATGCTCGTTTTCGCTAGAGCTAGAGCTTATTCGATTGTTAGTAAAATTGTTAAAATAAAATACTATATAAAGTCGCAATAAAATGCTATATAAACGTGTTTTTAGTGTCTTTAGTTTGTTTGGTTTGTTGTAATGTTGCTACGCGAGAGAATAGTGTATTAGGCTGTTTCTCCTAGTATTACCTTCGGGATAGCATTAGGATTTAGCCTCCTAGGGGTCGCCTAACTACCTCTAGGAGCTTAGTTTAGTATTAGACGAAAGCCGCTCGGAGGGAGAGACTGCAATCTCTATTTACACCTAGATCCTAGAAACTAGCTTGTATCTCCTTTAGCTAGGCGGGGGGGCGGTAGCCTTCTTTTTTTTTAGTAGAAGGCTAAGTACTATCTAAGCGAGGCTGCGAATCTAGGAACGCCCTACCCGATTAATAGGGGACTCCCCGGCTATCCGACCTGCAAGCCGTATTTGCTATTAATTAATAGTCTTAGTAAACTAAGCAAGGCCGATAGGTAATTAGTCTATCTCCTCCTTAGGCGGGGCTTATCTCGAGCAAGCGGTACTAAATAGGTCTTCGACCCGGAGCCGAGTCCTTAGAAGCTAGCTATAGCTATAGACTAGGCCCTAAGCTATAACAGTCCTAAGGGTTTGTAGCTTTTCGGGGTTAAAGCGATGCCCTCGTTAAGAGGTTTCTCTACTTGTCGTAATAGCCCCTTAAGATACTTCGGTATCGTCCGTATCGTAGGCTCTTATCGTACCCTCGCTTCGGTTATAGCTATTCGTACCTAGAGACTACCTTTAATATACCCGAACCTATTAGATATAAAGAGATAGCCCTACCTTCGGCTCTAATAAAGGACGGAAACTAACACTACTACTACTACTACTAGTAATAATATAGGCTACCGAGGGTAATATAACCTATAGCAATATAGGTAGTTATGTTTAGCATAATAGGATAACAAGACGGTTGCTTAGGCTAATAACTAGAGCCCTACAATATAGGCATTATAGAAGTGTAATATAAACAATGTGCTATACGAGGTTAGTGCTCTATCTACAATATAGAAGGAGGCCTCTTATATAGGCTTAAAACTTAGCCTAGGTGTATAGGGCCGGTTACTAGCTAATAGTAGAACACGTCCTTTTAAAGAGCTATACTTTACTGTATCCTCGTATTCTATACAACTTCGAGAGTTAGCGAGAACGAGTTAAAATAGCACTATTAGAAGCGCTTAGCTGTCTTCACTTCTATACTAATATATAGAAGTTACAATACGGCTATAAGTTCTTCTAGGCTATTAATTGCTAGTATATCAATCTACGCGGTTAACTAGTCTAAATACTACTAGATATACTATATCTACCGCCTAGTTCTTATACTAGCGACTTCCTTATAGAGGCCGTTCTTCTATACTTCTTAACCTTCTAAATCGCTAGCAAACTAGGCTAGATAACGACTAATAGCGGCTCTAACAACAATACGCTTAGCCTAGCTATTAAGCGCTTTATAGACTCGCAAGGGCACTCGTACTAGAAGGACCGTCGGTTACGCTATATTAGCTACATTCTTAACCGTATAATAATAGCCTTTATGTTTATAAAGGACGTAGAGGCCGCGGAAAGCGAGGAGTTTAGTTAAACAGTGCTAACTACCGACAGTAATAGCGTATCTATTTCTAGATAGCTTAATATAGACGTTAACTCCTTCGTTAAACAAGGTCTACTATAGCGGCTATTCGCACTCGCTAAGCTTCTACGTAAGAACGATAACTATAACATCTTCTAAGAGGTCTATAAAGCCTAGCCTTAATTGCTATATACAACTCTAAAGATCCCTAGCGAGACACGATAGAATAGTTAGCTTCTTATAATAGAAGAGGCTATTCAAACAAGGCCTATTCTAAATACCTTCTTCGATAGAATACTATACCTCCGCGAGTTTAGCTTAGCTAAGGACGACTAGAAGGTCCTTGCGTATACTCGGAGGTTCCTTAATCTATTTAAAGAGGTTACTCTTCGGCTAGAAGGCAACGCTATTACCTTCGATATATATTAAGAGTCTATAGAATATCTAAGAAGCCACTTTAGTCGCTCGGCCGCCGAGAATAAGTATAGAATAGTCCTTATTCGGTCTATTAACCTTGTAAGGGTGCTATTTAATAAGTACTATAGCCTTAACTAGAAGAGCCCTCTCTACGTTACTATAATACTACTATATCTAACTCGGCGACTTGCTTAGCTTTAAGGCCGCTCTATAGTCGACGTAGATACCTTACTATCGCGTTTAAGAGCACTTTAGAACGATTATAAAGCACGCCTCGGAAGCTATTAACTATAGTCTATACTGTAACGCTTATTCGAAGGGCTCTCGGACCTTAAACGCTAGCAAATTAAGTCTTAGACCGACCTTATTGCTACTAATAAGGACCCCTTCGAGGCCTTTATATACGCTAGTCTAATAGCACTGCTACTAGTTAGCGAGAAGCCTGTTCTTATAAGTCCTATTAACTAGTAGGTTTAGTAGCGGAAGACCTGCGATCTAGCACTATAGCAACTAGCTATTAATACATTGTCGGCCTTCGCTATGTCCGCTAAGTCTAAGAGGACCTTTAGTATAAGCCGCCGTACTACTAGATAGGACCGTATACGTATAAGTAGTAACTATATTCGTATAAATAAGTACTCGAAGAATTAGACAAGAATAGGGGTTACTAAGGTGCTATTAGAATTAGCTGCTTTAGAAGAGGCGGAAGAAGGACTACTACTATTGCTAGCCTCGTATTTAGTCTCTAGCGCTAGTAACGACGACGACGGCTTGTAAAATAACCTCCTTCTTAACCCTAAGCATTACTATAGGTACTAATTATATAATTACGTGATTATGATTACTAATTATTTACTTACTATTGACTATGATTATAATTACAGGCACTGATTAGTAAGTACTTAGTAATCAACTTCGATGCCGTAGTGTCTAGTAAGACGGAGGATGCATTCGATGCCTTCACACGATACCGACGATGCATGTAACGAAGGCATGCAGATAATGATACCCTTCTAGTTGTGTTCAACGACTACATGAATTGTTTAGACGGAGATCCGAACGAAGAGAAAGTCTTGGCTTTGATCGAACCTGCAATACGTTCTGGTGCTGAGTATTTCTGCATTGATGCTGGGTGGTATGCGGATGTTGATGACTGGTGGGATTCCGTAGGAGAGTGGAAGCCCTCCAGAGTGCGATTTCCACGAGGCCTCGAATTTGTCCTTGATAGCATCAGAGACGCCAGGATGAAGCCAGGGCTCTGGATGGAGCCTGAGGTCGTTGGGGTCAAGAGTCCTGTTGCTGTAGCTTTGCCGGATGGAGCTTTTTTCCAAAGACTAGGCAGGAGAGTTGTCGAGCAGAGCAGGTATCATCTTGATTTTCGTCACACGGCTGTGACGACTCGATTAGATAAGATCATTGACGGTTTGATCACTGGTCTCGGCGTGCAATACTTCAAATTCGACGCCAACGTCGATGTAACACAGGGCACAGATTGCAACGCCTCCAGCCCGGGAGATGGCATGTTCGAGCATCGTCGAGCGTATATGGCCTGGGTCAATGGTATTTACGATCGCTTTCCAGATCTCGTGATTGAATCATGCTCGAGCGGCGGCCAACGACTCGACTATCATACGCTTGCTACGCACAGCATTCAGTCGACTAGTGATCAGACCGATCCAGTCATCTATGCGGCCATCTCAGCCAACATCCTTACCGCCTTGACACCCGAGCAGAGTGCGAGCTGGGCATTACCACAGCCTGAGTACCATGACGATCTCATCGCACTGTGCATGGTGAATAGCCTAATGGGGAAGACTTTACATTAGCGGACGAATCGACCTGTTGAGCGAAAGCCAATTGCAACTAGTGATTGAGGCTTCCGATGTCTACAAGTCTATTCGCGCCGATATTCCAAATTCTGTGCCTTTCTGGCCCATTGGACTTCACGCTTGGCATCAGGACTGGTTGGTCTTGGGGCTCAGAACAGACCGCGTGATGTACCTGGCAGTATGGAGACGAGGTGGGCCCGACACCTTTTCTTTCCCGGTTCCTGAGGCGCCCGAGCATGCGAGCTTTTGTACGCTGTATCCGAAACGTCTTGTTACGGGGCTGCAATGGGACTTTGCGAAGAAAGAGCTGAGCGTTACGATTCCTAGGGCTCCTTCTGCGAGACTTCTCACTGTTTGCTAGCTCAGCGTGATGGAGCTCCAGCTCAAGGCAGAAAGACCGACGAATTTTCTAGACATTGCTCAGCGACGGCCGTCCGCCTCAACTAGAGTAATGAGCAACAAGCACAGCAAAACGTCCGAACGTCCGACGCATCATCGTCATCCGAGACATCCTCGATCATCTCAGACCGCAGAACTCTACCAATCTACGACGATTACACAGAGAACAAAACGAATTTTCCCTACGACTAGATTGAACGAGGAAGTGGAAGCCAGCGCGAGAGGAGAGGAGTCATGGCTCACAGGCACGAGATGGTAGGCAGCGTAGTGGTCACCTCGAAACAGGGTGAGATACAGACCCGATAGATCTTCTTTCTTGAAAAACAACATGGTTCAAACTCTCTTTAGCTTTCATGGCGAGATCTTGCATGAAGCAACGCGCAAAAACATGGCGAGCGTAGGAGCTGAAAGCAGGTGGAGGCATCGTCACAATTTGCAGGCATAGATCATTGCGAACCTGAAGACTTGGAATCGACAAGAGAGACGCGACTCCGCCGCGTTGCGTATGCTATGCTCGCGAGCTTCGTTTTAGCCCTTACACACTCCCACTGACACAGATGAGGCTTGTCTTGGTCCACCACATGTCCTCGCTCCGTCTGAGCAGTGTGGACAAAGCAATGGAGATTCGGTAGAATGGCACAGTCTCTTCTTCGGCAAGAGCGAGATGCGTTTATTTCATTCATGAAGTGAGGTCTAGCAACACCTCATATCACTCTATCACATGCAAATGATCGTAGGACTCGCGCTTCCTCCCTACTCGTCATCGCCGCCCTCAGGCACCACGCTCATCTCCTCGATATCGTCCTCCTCGAAGGTGTTGAGAGGCACTTGGTACAAGCGAATAGTTGGCTTGTTGGGGTCCTTCACAAGCACGTACTTGCCGTCTGCCTCCTTCATGACCATGTCAACGAAGGTACGAACGATAGCCCAACCGTTGTTGAGGTTGAGGTTCATTTGTGAAGCAAACTCGCGTGGCTTGTAGCCCAATACGCCCAGGATGACGTGCTCGGAGGTCGACTTGGGGTTCGCACGAGAGACGAATCTAGAACGACAATGTTAGTACGTAATTCTGAAATTTTGGTTCGATTGTGGACATCCGCCTTCGCTTGCGGAGTCGAAAAGTGAGTTTGGACTTACCCAAGCTTCATCAGATCCGCTTTGGCCAGGATCGACTGCGTGGTCCATCGGGCGAGCTTGCAGCTGTTGTTCTTCATCTCTGTGGCGACCACTGCACCACGTTGACTGGCAAGCTTGCTGCGCCAGTCGAGGGCGCCACCCGATCCTTGTGCCTTGTTGTCGAACTCATTGAGAGCGTGTATGGTCAAGAACTGGTCCTCTCCACTGATGTTGTTCTTCGCAACAGCATCAAGTTCGGATCGCACGATCAAGTGCAATGGCTCGGCATCTGCTTCCAACGAAAGGTCGAATCTTCGGTACCTGTACGCCTTGGAAGCTGGTGGGTCGGTCTCTTCGTCGGCATTGTAGAATGGGTGCTCGTGGTTCATGTCTCTCTTCATGCTTTCCGACTCCTGGACGACTTGAAGTGGGAAGACATTGTTGATATGGGTAGCCTCCTCCTTGAGAGCTCCTGGACTGTTGATCTGGTCTTTGTTGCCCTCACTCATCTCCAGGGGTGCATCTGCCGCGTTCTCGTTGACAGTGACCATGTCGAGGCTGCTGCCCTCTCTCTTGTCGATGAAGACCTTGTTGCCCTCTTTACGCAGAATTATATCCCAACTGTAGACACTTCGAGGTGCGCACATGAGCATAGAGAGGATGTTATCAGCAGCGAATACGGTGGCCTCGTCTTTATCAGCGAGCTCTTGAATGACAGGATCTGAAGATGTGGTAACGTTGTAGGCGGCGCGTTCGAGCACAGTCAGCTTGCGCACAGAAGTCGGCGCACCTGGCTGTTTGTCGTATGAGCGGTCGTAGTGGTAGAGGAAACCATAGTCGTCGAGGTCCTCGCCTTCGCCAGTATCGAGATTGAGCTTGGAGAGACGACTGAAGTCGATCTCCTCCAACACGCGCCAGGTATCCTTTGGTTGGACAGATGCTTCACGGTTGCGCTGTGGCTTGTCATAGTCTTTCCAGCCGAATCTACCGCCTCTGCGTCCACCTCGGCCACCGCGGTCGTTATACTGCTGTCCGCCTCTTCCCTGCACTCGGGTGAAAGTGCCTCTGCCTCCGCGCTGGTTGGCTGCTCCACGCTGTCCACCGCGACCCCGGCCAAACACAGCGCTGCCACGTCCGCCGAAGCCTCTTGAGCGCGTTGGCTGTGTGCGGTCGACAAGGCTGAATGTGTTCTCCTCGTTCGTTCCTTCTATCGCGAATGCAGTCTGCAGACCGCCTGGACCGGCACCGTAAATCTGGTCGCGGTATCGGTTATTGAACTGTTGCCTTCCGCCACGTCCCTCACGGTCCTTGCCCTCCGCTGTCCAGTCCGCCATACGGCCTAGCTTGTCGCCTTTGGAGAAGGGGGCGTAAGGAACGCCATTGAGGGTCGTTTCGGTCGTGGTTGGTGGACCCCATTGGTCCGTTGGAAGCGACTCAATGAGCTTGAGTAGGTCGTCGTACGCCATTATGCTCGATGTCGATGCTGATGTCGAAGCAGCAGTGGAGGTGTTTTCCACGACACCGTCCAAATTTCAAGCCAGCCGCGAACTCTTGGCGTGGGGCAAGTGCGGCCCGTGCGCGCCGACGCGACTTCAACTCATATGCAACTTGCTCGCTCCGCTTTGCAATACTCACTTCTCGGCGTCGGGCGGAGATGATCAGTCAATACAACTACGCTGGTAGTCACCGCTTGGGCTTGTTAATGATACCTTTCTCGCCCTGCCCGAGTCTTGCTAGCCTGACAGTTCCCTCAAGCTATACTGTCTCCTGCCGGGACACATCTCTGGTCTGCAACTTGGAGGGCCCAGTTTTGTATGCTGTACGGAGCTGAAGACCAGTCTAAGAGATGACTGAGTACAAAGATATGGACAACTGCTTAAATCCTCTGTTGCTAGTGGCTGCTCGCTGATTTCACCCGCTGTTCGCTGCATGGACGTTCGTTGAAAAGGCTCGATAATAAGGCCCGATAAGAGCTGTAGTTCCAAAACGGCGAGGTCAGCAAGGCCGTTGTTGAGTTGCGAAGAGATACATATTTAGGATGCATAGCCTTCAACTTCGATTATCTCCACCAACAATGGCAGCCGACCTAATAGTACAACCATCTCGAAGCTCATTTCCCTTTCACCGACCGTCTATAATGGGTCGTACGGGTCGCGGCAGAAATGGCCGCTTTCGAGAGCCACTTCAGTTCCTCGCCCACCCGACTTCAAATCACAAACCCTGGCTTCGAGATCCTTTACTTGCTCTTTCAGGAGACGATTTTCTTGCTCTAACTTCAATCGATCGGCGGCTTCACTGTTCTGTCGTTCGACGCTATCAAAACTACACGTTATCGTGCGTATCGCATGATGGCGCCCCTCCGAACCAACAGGCAGGCACATCTTCAGGATAACGTTCATCAGAGTTGACTAGTTTGCATAGTCTCTGCAGGACGAAATCAACAGGTGCCAGTCGAATCTTATCTTTTCTTTGATGGTCTCTTCGTCTCGCTCGAAACCGTCGCTGAAATGTCCCACATGCTTAGCTGGGTAGTGGACAAGGTGCCGCTTCACGATGGCAAGTACGGCTTCGATGTGAATTCCAAAGCCTGCGGCGGGACCAGGCCCCAAAATTTCTGGATGGCCTTCGAGAGCAATCTCTGCAGACCACAGACCGTGATAGCCACAATTGTGGCTCCATCATCCTCTCAAATATACCGTACAGTCATGAGATGGTCGTTGGCGTCCAACTCCGCAAGCCATTCCTCAACCCGCGCCCTTTTCAGTCCTTCTCGTGCTGCAATCTCCTCAAATGCATGTTCGCCATCGAAATACTTTAGAAGAGCATCGAAATAGTCCTTCATTTCGCCATCCCCAAAGGTCGCCCGCAAGGCAATCAAAAGTTTCGCTTCCGCATCACTAGGCTCTGTGGGCTTTAAGACAATGACAAAATCATCTTTCGGTTTTGACTCATCGGACACGGGCACCTGTGTGCCTGAGCTGAGCCTCTTTCCATCTCTGCTCGATATCGTCGATGGTGAAGCTACAGCTGTACGATCGGAGGTCACACTGACAGCGTCTTCGTCCACGGCGCGGGATCGTGGCGATAGCAGACCGCGCGCAGCAACAGGTGTTCTCGTTAGTGGTAGTTCTCTTGGTTTAGCTCTGTCCAGTACCCCTTTGGAGATCTTCAACCAGCCATATGTTCTCAATTGCACAACAAAACCATGCCGAACAAGGTATGACAAGATGTCCATGTATGCAGTTCTGTGGTCCCTACTTGGTATAAGCAGTCCATACTTGATAGGTCGACCACTCAACACTTTGAGCATGTTGGGTAGGTTCGGTAGCGTCGGGAACAGCTTGTGGTAGGCAGAGATGTGCTGCTCCAAGTCATGGAGAGGAGCATCTGGCGAGACCACGTACGTATTTCGAGCATTGAGTGGCTGTGATAAGACTTGAGCTTTGCGCCATTTGACCAGATGCGAACTCATGTGAAGTACTTCCTGCAGTGAAATGTTGAGATGTAAAGCTTTTTTGGTGAGGTTCTTTGCAGGAGTACATTCACGGATGAACGTGGCCAGAAGACTGGCGTCTGGATGAGCAAGCTCTCGTAGGAGTATCTCCTTGGGTTCAAGTAGCAACAATGCAGACAGCGGCCCGAGCTCGGCCTTCTTGAAGCAAGGATCCTTGGCCAAGCTTTCGAGATGGAGACTCATATTCATGCCGTTAAGTCGGATTCCAGCCACGTTCCCGGTCGAGATCTTTTCAAACACTTCCTTGAGTGCCCAAGCAAGCTCACTTCCTTCCACCATTCGCTGCCAAAGGTTGGCTCCGTCGATATAATGATCATCCTTCTGCTTAGAGCGCATGGTAAGCAGCATTCTGCTCTCTCTTGCAACATAGTCTGCTTGCCGCTGACAGTATTCGAGGGCTTCGTTCAATCTCTTGGCAACATCGCTGTAGATACTCTTAGCCTCCTTCTGCGCTGGTGGTCCAGCTCCACGCGTCACGAACACGACCTGGAACATGTTGATTTGCTCGATCTGGCTCCCTGAATCCGCGCTCGACGTTGTCTCCACTGAAGTGCCAAATGGAAGATCATTTTGCGCGTCAAGGCTGTCGGGAAAATGTGTAAAGTCACGATCTCGGCCGTGATTCGTGCTGGGAGGTTTTGGTGAAGTGAGGTTAAGACCGTCAATGTCCAGGTCCAATGCATCCTGATTGTCCTTACTCCCAGACTTCTCAGGCGCCTTTAGCGCCGAATGACCCGAACGGCTTGGACCCCAAAGTCCATCTTCGGCTGCATATATAGGGTGACCAAGGAAATTGAGACCATCGAGATTAATTTCAAATTTCTTCCGATCGCTCCATCTTCCTGGCGAAAGGACTTTCTCCAGGCTTTCTACAGAGTGGCCCAAGACTTTTGACGCACCATCAATTATATTGTCGTCCTTCAGATCTGGATTTGCTTCGTCAGGCAGCACATATCGATTGCCTTTCATCGGTGCTGCGATAGGATTATTGCCTTTGGCGGTCACTTCAGACGCCTTCTCATCTTCATCGTCTTCAGACTCTGAACTGTCGTCGGAGTCAGGATCATCTCTTCGCCTGCGCTTTGGCGGCAAGTGTGGTCGCTCCGGGCAATGGAAGACCAATTTGGGACCAGGGCGCGAACGTGTGATCAGAAGCACAGCGACGAGACCAGAGCCACTCGGCGCGTGCTTCGCGTGCGCCATCTGCCATCATCTGGTCGGACGAGCTTCTTATGTGGGAAAAAGATGTTACTTGCTGGCGGCTGCCATTGGACTGTTCATCTCTCAATAGACTTGATGTTGGCGGTTGCTATTTGAAAAACTGCCAAGACGTACACAAGCTAGTGGCATGCAAAAGGGCCTGGACGCTAGGAGCGGGGGTTTCTCACGCCCTTCCTAACGGCGCTATACTATCAAACACTAGTATATCATAAGAGTTATAGATAGAATTGCTATTTTACTTTCTATGTAGCTGTATATTGTTACTAGATTTTTAAGTAATAAGGATATACTAGGCTATTATCTATCCTAGGACTCTCGACTTCGGATCTTTACTAGATTTATAGCTGACTTTTAAATATAGCTATTACAAAATAATCTCACTAGAGTTATATACTACTTATAAATCGCGTATAGCTTCTAAATTGTATCTACTAGTATTTTATAGTAAATAATACTAGTACTTTCTATAGTTAAATAATTCTTAGTTTTGGTATCTCAGATATAGTGGAGTATAGATATAGTACAATGCTTATCTATATTATAATAGCGAAGGTTCTAGTCGCTTTTTCCAACAAAAAATAATAGTTGCACACAATGTGCCAAAGTGCTCCCGTACTTTCTAAAGAACGTCAGGCAGAGCACCCAGCCAGCCCATCGACGCTTCACCAGTCACCAGGCTTCTGGTAGGATCGATCGTCAACAATGACGATCGAGGAGCTTAAATCCGGCGAAGGGGCCGCAATTGTTCGCCGTATATGACATATTGGATCGGTGAGAGTTCGCCGTACGGGCTTTCGAGTTCAGACAATGGCATACATAAAAATGGCAGATGGCCGCGAGACGGCATTGCCAATACCCATAACCCGGTAATACAAGCACTATTCATTTGGAGATAATCATACAGACCGCGTCCATGGCACCAACTTCGCGCCGCATTCTCATCATAGGCGGTGGCCCGGCCGGCTCAGTAGCAGCTTTTTGGTTAGGCAAGGCAGGCTTCGACGTAACAGTAGCAGAACGATCCACATCTCGCTTCGCATACGGCCAGGGCATTGACATCACCGGACCGGCCTTAGACATTGTCAAACGCATGGGAGTTGAGCAAGAGATCAGGGCAAATACGACCGGAGAGGCGGGCTTCGCTATTTTAAACGAAGATTCCACGAATGTTGCCGTCTTACCAGTAGCGAGCCAAGCAGCGAAGGCAGAAGAAGGATGGAAGAGCTTGAGTCTGACACAAGAGATCGAGATCACGCGCGGGAAGCTTTCCAAGATCTTAGCAGAAGCCGCTGGTAGCATACCGAATGTGAGATATCGGTATGGATGCACGGTGTCTGAGCTTCGTCAGACTGAGAAGGATGTCACTGTGGTGCTGTCCGATGATGGGAAGACGGAGTCGTTTGCTGCGGTGATCGGCGCAGATGGCGTGAAATCGCGGCTTCGCGATATGATATTCGACCCAGAGACGAGCGCTAAGGCTTTCAGGCCCGTCGACCAATGTGGTGCCTTCTTCTCGATTACTGGTACTTCAGAAGACTTTCCGAATTCAAGGTGGCAGCATGCGACCAAGGGCAGATCGATAATCGTGAGGCCTGTCGACGAGAAGACCAAAAAGGTGTCTGGCTATGCGATCCAGACAGTCCCGGATGAAAAGCTGAAAGCTGTAGCTGATGGCACGAAAGATGAGCAAAAGAAAGCATTAGCCGAAGCATTTGCAGACTTCCCAGGGCCACTTGCACCTCGCATTATCGAAGAGATGCAAAAGACCCAGGACTTCTACTTCGTTCAAACCGCTCAGATCAAGCTTGACAAGTGGCATAACGGACGATGTGCCCTAGTCGGCGATGCAGCGTACGCCCCAAGTGGAGTGACCGGCGCTGGGACATTATGTGCCATTCTTGGAGCCTACATCATCGCTGGCGAGCTTGCTGCCAACCCCGACGATCCGAATACTGCATTTGAAAAACACCACGCTTTGCTCAAGGACTTTATAAAGAAGACTCAAAAAATCCCACTTGGCGGCAAAGCACCAGCCCTGCTCAATCCACAGTCAAGTTGGGGCATCAGCACTCTTAGGACCGTGTTCTGGTTCATTGCCTGGAGCGGAGTGTGGAAGTTTGCGAACATTGCGAGTGATTCCAAATTTCCACTTCCGGAGTACGAGATGAAAATACCAGAGTCGAGATGAGATGACAATGCCTAGTAGGCTTGCCAAAATCAGGTATAGCAGTATCAGAGCGAATATGGAATGCAGTGCCACGAACGCTTGCTCTAGCCAGTACTTTCTTGCGCTGCGAAAAAATCTAGGTCGGCGAGGCGCTGTTGAAGGATACCGGGCCTTCGAAATCAATGATGAAGGCGCCTAAAATGGTTGTATCCCTTGACCGTGTTCCAGTCACGACCAACCTCTAACACCTAGCTAGATAGTAAATCTTGATCCGTTTAGATAACAACATTAACTAAAATAGCAAGCACTTCTCTCTCAGACTTCTCGTTGACGAGATCTAGCTCTAATATCTCGACCTTCTAGGCTGTGTGTTCTAAAAACGCTTTAGGGAGCAAAAAGCCCCTTCCCGAAGCCCTTAGCTCTCATAACTTTCGATCCAGGCGGTATGTAAGAGACGTGGCTGAGAATAGGAAGAACGCTTCTTAATAACGGTAGCGGCGAAGTCATCGTTCCTCTAGAGCACGTATATTCAAGATCTTTTACTAAATGGAGACACAAAGGCTTTTAATCTATATGAAGCATAGAGGGTTTGGCGTAGAGGAATGCATCTCTTGACTGATAAAGAAAACAAAAGTTGATTGGTTTTTTTTTCAAAGATGATGGTTATTGTGAAAAGAAAAAAAATGATAGTGAGGTTTAGGAGTCAGGAAGAAGCGATAGATTCTGGACGGATTGGATTGTCAGCTGCAGCGTTTACGGAGGTGCAAAGGATACTTGCGTAGACTGCTACCACGAGACCACCCCAATGGCGGTCGAGAATTTTGAGAGGGTTCATAAATATACTGAGGTTTCATTTCAGCAGGCTGTCGTAAATATTCTCAGGTTAGAAGGCTCATTGACCAAACATCCACAATCAGAATAGTCCAAGCTATCTCAAGCCCAGTGGATGTTCATCAGTTCCCCCGCCCCCTTCATCATCAGCTCCCCGGTATCGACCAAGAATCCATTCTTTTGCTTCTTCTTCTGCTTACTTCGCGTTTCATACTTCCGCCGCGAGTCAGCCGGATAACGGATGTATCTGTATGGCACCGCACTTTGTGACCTCCTTCTTGATGACGGATTGTCCTACTTCGCTCGCCATTGTCGATAGTCTGCCTCTTGCACATATTCCTCGCTGTCTTCACTATTCGTGCTCCCATCCCAGACAAGAAGATCATCGTCAATGCGTGATCGTCGCGTCAGATCGTCAGGTAGCCTTCTTCGTGAACTTCCCCTGATGGGTGCGCGCCTCCGCATCTCACGTTGATCGTCAACATCGGCACTCTCATCAGACTTCGATTCGGACGTCGATGAGGATGTCGTTGAGGACTCAGGAGCATCATCTTCTCGCTCCCGCTGGCTCCGACCCGGGCGAGGCGTGCGGTCCCGGTCATCTTCGACGAGATAGGTATCTCGGTTACGCAAGCGGCCCCTACGCTCATACTCTGCTATCAGATCCTCCTTACGTTCTCGACTCCCTTTTCTCCGCCGAGCGAAGTCGCGGAACTCTCGAGAGCTTGCATTACTGTTCGGTGGCGTTGGCGAGATCTCAACCTTCTTAGAGAAGTGCACTCGACTAGAGGCATCACTTGGACGGCGACCTCGCTGGTTGCTAGCAGTCGCTTCTGGTAATACGCCTTCTTCTCCCGGCCTAGTGCGATGTACGTATCGTTCGGTCGTCTCACGCTGATCGTAGCGTCCGCGTGTTGGTGATCGACTATATGATTGCACCTTGCGCACCACGTACTCGTATTCGCCATCATCCTTGCGACTAGTCGCCGCCTTCGATGTGCGTCCTGAGCGTGAGACATGCGAGGTAGGCGAAGGCATGGTAGCGGCAAGAGAGCGCTCATCCTCAGGATATGGCAAGCTTCCTTTTGTTCTGATCTCCGCGGAGACCTGGTTTTTCTGCTCGACAACCATCTTGACTCGTTCGGAACCTGACTTAACTTGACCTTGGCGTGGTCTCGCTGACGGTTCGTATGCCGCTGTTGGCCAGCGCGTTTTCTCAGATGAAGTGCTTGATGAACCAGATGAGGTGCTCGAATCCGGCAAGGGTACTTCACGCATAGTTGGCTTATCCTGTTTGCGGCTGCGTTCGATGACCACTTCTTCAATCTCCCGCTCAGGTTCCAGTCGGGAGTCTTTTCGTCCTAGTTCTGGCCGGGACCAAGGCATCTGCACAGGGATGTCCTTCTCAAGCTCGATTCGACGTTCGACTGGAACTCTCTTGACTTCGACCATTCTGCCATGCGCATATGGACTTGGATGTTTCTCCAACTTTCGCTCCAAGCGACGATACCGCTCGACTTCGTCTCTAGCGAGTCTACGAATCTCTGCCTCCGATCGCTCTCGTGGCTGAGAATTAGATGATGAAGAACTTGATGACGAAGAACTTGATGATGAGGAACTTGATGTTGAAGTTGACGATTGAGTGGCTGCAGACGTCTTAGTCTGATCAGCTTCCGTAAACCCTGTTGGAAGCCGCCGACTAGAAACGCTGCGCCGTGTCGACGCCTGACGCTCTTGCTGGCAGTCTACGAGCTCCGAACGCAGCAACTCCTGACGTGCATTTGAAGGCGGCGGTGGCGGTATTCGGATTGATCTCGTCCAGGGCGATGAGCCAGCTGTGGCTTCGTAAGTATCTGCATCCACGATAACCTGTTGCTGCGCAAGAGAAGCTTCGGCAGCACCAGAAAAATCCTGTGCGGTATATGCTGGTGCTTGTCGGACAGGCGATCGGAGGGGACGCGGTGGGATGACTTCATGAATGTGACGATAAATGGTCTCCTCTCGTTCTCTCGGTGGGCTTGGGTCGCATTTTATAGGGCAGGCGGTTTCATAGATCGTTGTATTACGATCTCGAACTGGCTCGAGTTCGGCGTAGGTAGCCTCGCTCATGGCACGACGAGCGCGTGTGTCGCGCATTTCGGATTTCGTGAAGGCGTCCTCATCAGGCACCAAGCATCCTACACCCACTCGAATCACGTTGCTCTCGCGCTTCTTAGTGACCTCTTCGACATCTTGGAGATCTTCTGCTGGTGCGACCCGGCATCTTCTGCAAATACCCGGAGGCGGTGGCACACCATCGGCCGGGATGGGATGGTCGCGATGATACCGCTCACTTCTGGGTCGAAGGCAGATTCGACAGATGTGGTATACGGCGAGTGGAGGCACGTCGCGGTCTCGAGCAGCTGAAGGCGAGGATGCTGGCGTCCTCGTAGTCTTCTTGATGTCGACGTAGCGCCACCCACGGTCGGCACCATTCGCAGCCATTGCCGCCGGTCTTGAAGTTATGGTGGTCTCAGACTCAAGCAATGGAGGCGGTCGTCGAGTGCTACTGTCGTAAAATTCCGGCAATGGTGGCGGTGGTATGCAGTAGTAGGTGTTGGTGGGTGGCGGCACCATCTCGAAGGAATGTTTGCATCCAGCGAGGGATGTAGTTATGATGGTTGCTGTGGATGTTGTGTTTGTGTATCGCGGCGAAGTCGAAGATGAAGGTAGGTCAACGTCAACCGTTTAGCTGAGGCAGGCGCTTTGTCACACCTCGTTCTGCGGAGAGGAAGTCGCGACGGTCGAGGCTTTTGGAAATGCTGAATTCTGGAGTCTCGGCAGTGGAAGTGGAAGTGGAAGTTGAGTTGGCCGTGCGTCGCATGAGAAATAGCGCCAGTGCCGTGGCAACGAAAGTGAGGGAGTGCGGTCAGTCAGAAGAATGCGCGAAGCATGTGAACTCGTCCGTACGAATCACACGCGGAAGATTGAAGCACTGGTGGGACAATGTTGCCAAACAAAATCCCCCAGCTAGCAGAACCCTCCGCTGTCTATTAGACATTTTGCTCCTGCGTTGCTACGACAGATAGGAGCAGCATTATCAATAGCCCTCGCACTTTTGAGCCAACGATTCTCAGCTCTTGAATTCGGCAGCCAACTCGCGCCGTCGCCCGGCAGCTAACGCTCTCAACTGTCCGGTCATCGTGTGAACACACTCCTAGGGCTTCTGTTCTGTTCCAACAGAATGCAGGAAGAATCATCAATCATTTGTTCATGTATCTCATGGATCTTGCATGTTCTGTCTTCTGCACACGTCTCTCCCTATCGCAATCCACTCTATTCTCCAATCACATAAGTACAGCCCTCCTTGCCCATCCACTGAGCCAAGATCAGCTCATGCTAGCTGCTGTCGGAGGAAGGGTAACGCACCACTTCGTGCTTTCTGTTTGCATCGACGTCTACTCGCGCCCCTGGACCAAATGTTTCTTTCGTTGGCTTCGCATCATCAGGGTATGTGATCGTCAACTCGCCATCGAGGATCAAATGGGTCGTGAGCCCGGCATGTCGGTGAGGAGAGTAGTAGGCATTTCTCTTGCGTATCAGCTCCAGCCCAATGCTGTGGTCTTATGAACTTACGGCCCATCTACAAGCACGGATGTTGTGGTTAGCAATGGGCAGTGGATATCATCTCTGTTACTCTACCAGACCATGTGAAGACGTGGTTGAAGCCCCACGACCTCACTTCGCTCTCAGCTTCCTTGCGAGATGGCATGTTGTCTTTAAGGCAATAAGAGTGAAAGGTCGGGGTCGACAGCTACCTCCGTTCAGGCCTTTGTGCATTAAGGATTACGTTCCGCGGTGGTGAATTGGTTCGAATTGCACGTGATAGCATAATTTAGGGTTCATTTGCCGACTTCCGAGCAACCAATCATATACTACTCTACCTAATCCTTTGCCTAAAGGCCTAAAGCCAAACCGTCTTGTTTCTTAGTGCTTACAGCTATTAAAATACTAATATAACGCGACACGCGAAATTGACTAAAGCAACACTTAGAGCTTGTAGCGCTACTATTTCCGAATATAGCGAACTAAGAATTAAGTCGCTACGACGTATACGCGTTAAGTTATACTAATTTAGCTAAGCCTACTTCTATAGCTTTCCGCCTATCTAAACATACTAATTCTTAATATATCGCTAGATACTAAACTAACACTTAGAGGTCCTTAAGTAGAGCGATCCGAAAGACTTCCTCGCTAAGCCTACTTATATACGACTTCTTATTACTAAGTTCTCGCCGCTCCTCGAAAGAATAGATAGTAGCACTACCCTTCTTTTTTAACTAGACTAACTCGAGGCCCTTCGCAAAGTACTAGACCCCGTAGTAGTTCGGTTTCCGAACTACTAAACGTATATAGTTTGGTTTCTTAGCGGCGAACTAGCTCCCTAGTTCCGGTTTGGTTTTTTCGAACTATATAGATTCCTAGTTTAAACTAGAGACTATATTAGTTTTACTATAAGGACACTCTTATTCGACTACCGGCTACGATTGCCGGCTATAATAGTAACTCTGTTACATTTACTAGGCGTAGTTGCCGTTGCTAGGGCGTAGTTGCCGTTGCTAGGGCGTGGTTTTACTACAAGGACACTCTTATTCGACTGCCGGCTACGATTGCCGGCTATAATAGTTACTAGGTTGTATTTACTACGCTTTATTACCGTTGCTAGGGCGTGGTTGCCGTTGCTAGGGCGTAGTTGCCGTTGCTAGGGCGTAGTTGCTATTGCCGGGGCGTAGTTACCGTAGTTGCGAAAGCTCACCTATATAACGTTACGTAGGCGGCAACAATTAAGGCTTTACGATATTCTTACACTTTCAACTTCTTCCTCTATACCTATACCGACAATAACTACTATACGCTGCGCCCCCGCCCCTTTCCCTTATAATAGCAAGAGAGAAGCGCGCCGCGCGCTAAACAGAAGATAGAACTAAAGACCGCGAGTTTGTTTTGCCTAAGCGTCTAACTAAAAAGCGCAAGACTAAAGAGGAGTACTCTACGAAGAAGAATTCCGTACGAGACCGCGAGAGAAAGGACAAGATAGATAAGGATAAAAGAGCTAAGGATAAGAGAAGAAAGGCGCGGAATAAGGCATTCTATCGATAGCTAGCGCCTATAGAAAAAAGTGAAGGTTAGAATAAGAAGACAATCTAAGAGAAGGCTAAGAGGAGGAAAGAATTGCGGCTAGTTTTCGAGCGTAAAGTTCTAGCAGCGTAAGTCAATCTAGCTAGCGGCCGTAGCTAGCAGTTATAGCCGGCAGCCGTAGCCGGCAGCTGTAGCCGGCATATTTTTCTTTAATACGTTAACTAATAGCATTCAGACCTATAGTCGCTACCTCTATCGATACGACCGATAGTAACGGAGATGTTTAGATAGCCGAGAACAATAATGCTAGAGTTTAGGATGCCGCGACAGAGCTTAATACTACGAATAAAGGAACTGAAAAAAGCGAGGAGATACTATACGTCGATCTAGTAATAGGTGTAGTCTTAGGGCCTAACGCTATAGACGATAAGCGCTAGGAGTAGATCGAGTACAGTTAAAGAGACGAGATACTAGTAAAGGGCTAAGGTATAAGTCCTATTAATCTAGAAAATCATAGTCAAAGCTACTACGAAAAGCTAGCAAGGATTGGAATCGAGACTAGTCGTCTTTATATCCTCGATATAGAGTAGAAGTTTCTTTATTAGTATTAGAGCGAAGCCTTTGCGTCTATAAAGGCAAAGTAGCTTGCGATTAATGCGATCGGGGCTAGGTATCTAGGGACGGCAGAAGTGTTACTATAGGAGGAAGGGGTACAGGTAATTATTCTATGCTCGGTATATATAGCCGGCGTTCGTAGCCGGCAGATACTAACAGTTAAACAGAAAGCGTTTCTCGAAGGCAGAGTGCTACTGCTATATAAAATCTTTACTAAGGCAGAGAGGGCTTGTATCCGGAATCTAAGCTGCTAGTAGGATAGGTTAGCGTTAGAATTCTCTAAATCTCTATATAAGCCTCCGAAGGATTACCTATTTCAGCGATACGGCTTTATCTCGACTACTCCGTAGGCACCCGAAGAAGCTCGAGCGCTCTTTAAGGTCTTTACTAAGAAGCGGAAGGAGTTCGAGGATTAGGATTAGTTAATAGAGCTATTAGTTAGTCTTGGGTTTCGTAGTTAGACTCGGCCTAAGCATTTGCTTATCGAGTGTCTTATGCCGAAAGAGGATAGATTGAGACTAAAAACGAGCTTGGATTCGTTAGGTACAGTAGCTCGGTTCCGTTAGTAGGAGAGAGCCGCCGTATAGAAGGCAAAATTTAGGTAGTTAGGGTGGCTAGGAAAGAAATTCTAGTAGTTAGGCTAGCTAGGGTAGCTAGGAAAAAAAATCTAGTAGTTAGGTAGCTAGGAAACAAAAAAAAAAGGTAGCTAGCTATTTACTGCCTAGCTGTTCCTAACGATACGATGCTATAAAAGAAAGGGTGTTTCTCTACAGCTACTAGTACACATCTACTACTCCTAAGTCCTTACCTTACCGTACGAAACCTCAAAACATACCGACCGACATTGTATATACACTAGGCGCTACACTAGGAAGGGTAATAACGAGACGACAGTCGAAACAGTCTAGTATACGAGCGAGATTGCGACAACGTCGAGAGGAGGTCGCATACTCACCTTCGAGCCTATCGAGTCCTAGACTACGATTAGGGCTAGATTCATCCTCTCCGAATCCTAGTAGTAGGAATTCATTATAGGGTACTACTACCTAGTCCTTACCTTTACGGAGTCTAAGCAGAAGGTTATTCGGAGATATAAGAACATCGAGTATTAACCCGGAAATCTTCGAAAAGGCTAGCTAGGCGTATCTTTAGAAACCCGAGTATATAGAGCAGTTTAATCAATAGGTCTATAAGATATAGTTCCCTTTATACTTACGTTCGAAGGAGTGTAAACTCCGGAAGTACTCGATGCGATAGGGGAGTAAGGAGCGAACGGATACATTCTAGAAGTTCTTTATAGAGGGGGTATTGCACCGTTATACGACTTCTCGACTTAAAGGTTAACTAGTAATTGTCTATAACTTCTACGGTTCAATCTTAAAATACCCGAAACTAGGGGATAGGAACTCATCGCCTACGAACCATCTCTATTCTAAACGGTGTCGGGAATCTTAAGGAGAGAGGAGAGTTAATATAGATATAGCGTTCTAGAAAGAGGTATGTCTTCTAAAATGCCGGCTATAGCTACCGGCTATAGCTACCGGCTACAGATTCCGGCTACCTAAATCAACCGTAGAGATCTAGCTAATTATTATAGGCTACGCTTAAGGAAGCTCTAGGATTAAAGGCTACCGATTTCTCCCCCGAAGACTTTAAGCAACTAGCAAACGAAATGCTAGCTACAAACGGTCTTCCGGAAGACTTCTACGAAAGGGAGTCTATATAGAAGATATACCTATATCTTACAAACTACCCTCCCCTATTTCTCGGCGCGACAACCTAGCGTATTATGTTCGAAAAGAACAAAGAGGCTACGTTAGACGACATTCGGGAGATCCTCCGTAATACTCGCCGAGTAGCTATTGCTATCGATAGCTAGTTAAGCCGGACTATAAGAGCCTCCTTCCTCTCGATTATGCTATACTTTATCAATTCGGATTAGAAACTCTAGGAACTTATAATCGGATTCCCTGAAATTCTAGGTTCCTATACTAGTAAGGATATAGCGAAGCTTGTCTATACGGCAATAGATAGGGTTAGTGTAACAACGAAACTGATCTCGATTACTACGGACAACGCTAGTAATAATCGAACATTGTATAAGGCGTTATATATACAATTCACTCGTATATGTCTTTGAAATTACTAATTATATCGATAGGGTCGAGTGCGTAGAGGAGATTATAAGGTCTACAATCTAGCTTAATCTTCCGAATGTTAAGCTCGCTACGATTCCGGATACGTACGACAATACGTACGATAATAACGATAAAGAGGAGCCTATTAATAGCCCTAGCCCTATTAAATCGGAGCCGACGTCGTTGCTAGTTACATCCCTATAGAAGTTTCCCTACCTCGCTTATATAGTTCAAATCGCGATCCGAGCCCTCTTTAAGACGCTTAAAATTGCACTATTAAACGACGACTAACAGAAGATCCTAGATAAGGATAAAGCAAAGTCGAAAGTCGAGAAACTTATTATAGCAATAAGACGGGATAAGGCAGAGAGCCTCGCTCTCGTTTTGTATAAGGTATGACTTTTGTCCGTAGCCGGCACCTATAGCCGGCAACCTAGTATAGTTCTAACTCTTTTTCTCTAGCTTCGTCGTCTAGCAATATATACGAACTCGAGCTTATAGAGATATAACCGATTCGAGGCTATTTAAAAGAACCTAATCGAGCGCCCTAAAACCGATGCCTAGAATATCGCATAGAATAAGCGATAGCAAAAGCGGCCTCCTTAGCGCCCACTCCGTTTTACCTAAGACGTTAAGACCCGGTTCGATTCGACTTTCTATATAGTTACGAGGGGATGTACTTTACGTACCGCTCTCGAGATCTATTAGAGTTCCGAGGGTATTAAGTAGCTCGGCCTTACCGCCGCCGAATAGCGCTAAGCAGAGTATCTCGTCGATATTAATAAGCATTACGCGAAGGTTACTACTACGATTAGAAGAACCCGAGGACCGACGATCTACCTTGTCTTTACGTACTATAACTAGCTCTTTAACGAGCTCG